TCAGTGTCTTGGGAGTAAAAAAAAACATCTATTTTAGGGTTTAAGCTAATTAGAAAAATATTAAATCTTTCTATCTAAGCTTAAACTGCTTCCTATGAATGTTATTTAAACAAAGGCGCTGGTATTAATGTAGGTTTGAAATTGAAACAGTCAGACTTTCTCATATACGTAGTGTAGTTGAAAGCACCACGAGCAGAACACAGACGGAGGCGGTCTCTTTCATGTGAAATCGCTGGTTTGATTTCGGCTTAACTTCTCTCTGAAGGTAATTATGGAGTCAAATACTTATATATATATATAATTAAAACTCAACTTTTAACGTCTATAAACTGTATAATTTGGTTAAAGTTGTATTGAGCGTCAAAAAGCGCATAATAATGTGGTAATGAAGCAAATTGAGAACCTTGTTGCCTCGATGGGTTTGCTAAATCATAGCCGCTTTATTTGGGCCATTAGTTTTTACTCCACATTAAAAAAAGTAAAATATTCTGGTGTCAATTTTTTTTTTTACTTTTTGGATTAGGCAAAAATAATCGATTAAAGATTAAATTGATTTTCATCAAAAAAAGAAAGAAAGTAAATATAATAATAATAATAATATACTGTATAGCCTATATATATCTCAGCTTGGGTGATAATTGCAAAGGAGAACCTAAAAGTCTTAAGTTATCCTTAATGTGTTTTGTGTATTATTCTTGAAGCGTCAGGCTAATTTGAATCTTTTAGAGTGACCTTGATTAATTCATGTAAAAACCCCAAGAATTAAAAATGACTTCAATCCAATTGTCCAATATTATAACTACAACTTAAAATCAAAACCAAACGTATATTTCTTGTGTTTAAATCCCAATGCACGTAATTGTGGTTTTGCTGCTAATACATATTTAATGAGACCTAAAAATAGTGCTTTTACCATTTTTGCCAGTCCATCCATGTAGGACTTGATGCATTAAAGTTTGCCAAGTAGAAGCAGGATTAACTACAGAAGAGGATCACGGCTACTGAAAAAATACAAAAAAGTTAACTGAGTGTTTAATTTTATTTCAGTATAATATGAGAAAAAAACTCACAATTCTGACTTTAATCTCAGAATTCTGACGGAATTCTGAGAGCTAACAAACATGTTCGCATCAAGCCGTAGCCATGTCTGTTTTAGAGAGTAAACTAGCTCTCTTTTTTTAATCACCTTCTACTCGTCCATTCATGAAATAGCATCATGGGCACGTAAAGAGTTGCCTTATCCAGTCATTTTCTACCAATGTGTTACTGATACGCATGCACAAATGAGCTGATGGCGCATGCACAGAACTGATCATGCTTCCGGGACGGATCGGGTAGTGACAGTGTGCGTTACAACATTGAAGAGGCTTTAGAGCTGATTTTCTCAGATGTCTATCAAGACAACTCTGCTTCAGAAGAGGAAGTGGAGGATGTATCCGAAGACGAAGATGGGGAGTAATGCAACCCAGAGCATGTTGAATCATCTTCAGAAGAAGAAATACCCTGAAGCTGAAAGAGAAACTTCCCTTTCAAAAAAATGGCAAAACATGGTCGTTAACAGCATATGACCAACAATGCAGACATGAAGAACATCATAAAGATGATCCCAGGACCCACAATGTATGCTGTTTCTCATGCCCATGATATTGTCTCTACATTCCACCTGTTTATCACACCAGCAATAGAAACAATAATCCTGGGGATGACAAATCTGGAGGGTTTTCGTAAATATGGAGACAGCTGGAAAAAGATGGATGAGATTGCCCTGCAGGCCTACTTAGGGCTGCTAATCTTAGCAGGTGTATACAGGTCCCAAGTTGAGGCTGCATTTAGGGATAAAGAGAGCGGAAGGTCAATTTTCCGCTACTATTTGATGACCGTAAGTCAAGACCAGCAAGATGTGTGACAGACAAACTTGCAGCCATAAGAGGACAAGCGGGAGGAGCGGCTGCCCTACCTTTGCAATCCAGGACGTGACGTAACATTGGATGAGCAACTGGTTCCATTTAGAGGTAATCTGTTTTCATATTTGAAATAAAAGTGATTTTCACTTTTGATTTCTTTGACTGTTTTCTGTAACAATGTTACTAATCACTGATGCTTATGTGTTTTGTATTCCCTAATCGATGCTGTGAAACAATTCAATTCCTTATCGATTCTCTTATTGATTCCGTTGAATGAAAAAGCATTACTGTACAATTTTGGTAAATAAACTCATCTCCCCTGATTTAAATAAATGAGTGTCACCTTTCTCTTGTTCCCTGAACTGCGGAGCAACTCAGTAGCATGTTTTGTTACATCCATTGCAACAGCTAGAATCATGTAAGAATTTCAGCTTCCAGTAGTTCTAATGCTAGCTATGAAGCTCTGAATTAACAAGAGCCACTCCCTTAATAATCCCAAAGAGAGGTAGAAAATAGGTTTATTTCCAGGAATGGCATATGATTTACTAGGAACCACTTTAAGCACAGCCAGTGATATAAAACTAGCTACTTACCACCAGAGTTGCCTTCCTTGCTGGTTGTAACTTTAGCTTCTGTCCGGAAGCATCAAAAACACGGCATTCGTTAAAATGTATGCCATGTTGTGTGTGTTTCTGCATGTTGGATGTATTTCCTCCCGCAGATGTTATTGCCACTTTGCAATGATTGCAAAGTGCCTTGTTGCCATCTTAGTCTTCCTTAAAATGAAGCCAAACTTTTGATTGATTTACCCGATGGAACGCCATTTTTTATAGCTTCGCTTTTCTAGACTTGCGCCCGGTCACGTCGTACTTGCTTACTGAATGTAGTGTGCGTAAGTTGCGTAAAAAGTGTGATGTAAGTCGTGCTGCCCAGCGCTAGGCTCTGGTGCTGCCTGGATTTGTTAAAAGAATCGTTAAGCGAGCTGCAAAATGGTGCCATGGAATCATCATCCACAACGGAGGTCTTCCACAGGGGGTCCGTGACCCCTAGGGGGACCACAGAGGTACTACAAGGGGGTCTCGAAAGCTTTGGTTGATTAAACTTTTTTTTTTATATTCCTTGCTGCAATTTTTTTCCATTAATTCAAATGTCTTTAAATCCACATTAACATGAATTTAACACACTTTAGTAAACGGATAAATGCTGCAGAAGAATGAATTCCTGCTGGCCGTTGGTCCTCTTCCACATCATCATTGATGCTTTGTCCTACAATGCCTTTGTGATTTGGAGAGAGATCAACCTGACCTGGATGTCTGGTAATCAGAACAAGAGGAGGGTGTTCCTAGAGCAGCTTGAAAAGGCCCCTGTATCTCCACTCATTGAAAGAAAGAAACATGTCCTCCGCAAAAAAGCCTCAGCAGCAGTTCTGAAAGCTATTCAGAGTGCAGGAGCTCCTGATCAACCTGAGTATCCATCTAACACAGCCACTTCCCCAGCTGGGGCAAGACGTCAGTTCTGCCCTCAAAAGAAGGACTGTAAAACACATCATGTGTGCTGCAGGTGTAAGAAGTATATCTGCAAAGGCTGTTCACTTGCTTACTGCTCTTCATGTGCTAATTAGTTAATTGGATTATGTTACTTGTCACATTTCTGTTTTGTACATTGTCTTAAATTGTTCATTATAAAAGAAAAAAAAGAAAGAAACCGAGTATTTGGGATTAGTAAAATGCATTAAGAACTCCTTTTTGCTATTTTTTTTCCCTAAGCTATAGAAATTCAAGTGAAGAGGGAAAGTATTCACTCATTTTGTGGCGAATGACAATATAAAAGATATAATTTGGTGTTAAAAATTAAATTAAGCTGCTTAAATTTGGGGGATTAGTGAAGACGGGTCATTTTGAGCCAAAAGACACAGGGTGTCTACAGGAAATGAGGACAACAGGAGGGTTTTTAAGTAGCACACTCCAATATGGCTGCAAGGATTGAGAAAATATAAAAGATTGATTGGAGGATGCAACTAACAGCTGTCAATGATCAGAGCAATCAGTTTCTCAATGTCAGATTTGTCAAGTCTTGTAGATCCTTTTTTTCTCCAGATGGTCTAAAATAATGTGGTAAAATGGTCTCATGTATGTTGAGATTACTACCATTCAGAAAATGTTTTATCGTGATACTAAATTGCTACGCTCAATATCGACATCCAGGAAAATGTTTGACACTCATTTTCTATACCACTGGGTTCCAAATGGCATAATTAAAGGCATGAAAAAAATAATTAACCTTGAAAAACTTACCTTTTTCAAACTCACCATCAAAAAATACTTGCTCAACAAAAGAAAAACCTAACCCAGTAATCTAAAATTCACATTTGCAAAAAAAAAAAAAATGCAAACAAAACTCTTCTTTGATATCAGTCGTGGAAACAAATCAATTTCAGTTCCTAGTATCGATTTTTTTAAAAAACCAAAACAATTTTACATAAACCAAAGGGAAAATGGGCTATTTCCGCACCGCTACTCTGCCGGATAGCCCTTTGGAGCCCTTTTGCTGTGCAGCACAGCGCCATATTCGTAATTGATGCGGTCACAGAGGAAGATGTAGACTTACTCAAGCTCCAAACAACATAGATACCTAATTAATTAAATGATCAATATCTTCTAATTAAGATTTACAGAACTTGCTTTTTTTTATCTATACATTTAATTTTGATATGAAGGAGAAGAATAGATCTATGGCATAATTAATGTGTCTTTGTTTTTGTTTAGGGCATGCCATGAGTGACCTTATGGATGCAAACTTCATCCCTCAACTATGGATGTCACCTCCAAAAGGAAAACAACAGAAGAAGAAGAAAAAAAATGTCAAACATAAGAAGAGCAGAGCCACGAAGACACATGAAAAGGTCCAGAAGGAAAATAAAAAGTCCAAATTTAAAGAAGAAATGATGGGAAAGACGGAAAAGAAGAAAGAGAAGAGGAAGGAAAAGGACAGGGAAAAGAAAGGGAAGAAAAAAAAGAAAGACAATTTGGCTTTGAATCTTGATGATTCCAAATTTGTTGAGGGCAGCCAGAAGCTTGCAGTGGGCAACCTGTGCCTAAACGAGAAGCAAAGCTCTTCCACTGAAAAACCAGTCAAAGAGCCAAAGAATAAAAAGAGTAAAAAGATGGTGGCGTTTGGTTCGTTACCTTCCTACATACCTGTCAAACGTCCCAGTTTTGCATCTCCGGCACTGAAACGAACCGAAGCTGTGAGAGAGGAAGACAGCGGCTCCCTGGAGACGGGAAAAAGCCAGATTCCACCACAGGAAAATGACTCTCAGTATAACAGTGACGACATAAACAGCCAGGACCTGTTCATCACTCAGAAGAGGTTCAGAGCATCGCCTTCTGGAACTTCCAGCAGTGAAGCCAGCGACAGAGTTATTTCTGAATCCCCTCATGTGTTCTCGCAGCGAGACAAGAAGCAGCCCCCCGCTGCGGGAGAGATAAAAAGACGCAACGAGACATCAGATAGAGGTAGAGACAGGGGAATAAAAACAGAGAAGATGGGAGAAATTGGTGAGTTTCTAAAACCCTCAGGAGAAATATCCTTCCTGACAAACCAAGCAGAAACAAAAGTGTCTCAACATGAAAGGCCCCAACCGGGTGATCCTTTCTTGGATGACCCTTTGGTTATAAACCCCACCCCGGGTGCTGTTTTATTCCAAGATGGCTCCTCATACCGTCCATACGTTCGGGAGCCAACCATGACCCCTGGTTTCGCAAGCACTTCCACTCAGACGGAAAACTTCTTCACCACAGAAATCTCCTCCTACCTCGGCTTCTGCCGGAAAAACAGAGCAGCTTTGCAATCCCCGGAATGGAAGCCTTTGGATCTGAGCTTGCCACATAGAGCGAGGAACAGCCTCTGTTTGTCAGGAGAAACACTCGATCCCGACATAAAGCTAGAAGAAGAAAAAGGCCACAAGCAGGAGTCATCATTCCAAAAGGGAGAAATAAGCTGTAACAGAAAGGAAAGCACGTCTGCCTCTCCAAAAACCAGACATGCAGAGAGGAAGATGGAAAGTCTGTGTCCTGGTGAAGAAACTCCAAGTCCTCAGTCAGAGGTGGAATCCAGGTCGGCCAACACCACCTCCAGTGAGGACGACCAGCACTGCCGCGCTGGGAAGCGAGACGCGAACCAGGTGACCCCACTTCAACCCATACTCAGGCATTTACAGCCAGAATGCTTTAAAAAATGTCTTTAGTTCAGGAACTCAAATAACTATAGATTCATTTTACACAGACAGATGTTTATAAAGCTTTAATATATCTGCTTATAAGTGAATAAAAAGCACTAATAATAAGCATATTACATCAAGGCGATTAAATAACAGAAATGTCGACATGATGAAAAGTTTATTTAATACCAGCTTAATTATTACGTTCAAACTGTAATTTTTAATCTGACCTTTTAACCTCTTAACATCCACTGATATTAGTGCGTTTTTACGTCACATTTAGGCTCGGATTGGGAACGATTTTTGGCCATGGCATTTTTCCATCTACACCGCCCCATCATGCACCGCAACATATTTTTGAAAAATATTCTAACATAAATTTGCCAAAGATAAGAGGAACATCGTAGTTAAGTTTAAAGAAAGCACTTTATTTTTATTATAATTTAGTTTGTTGCAAGCATTTTACAGGTTGAAGAAATAGAAAATTACACCATATGCCAACCGTCACAAGGATGTGCAGGACAAGGAAGGGCTACATATACTGCATGCATCATTTAGGTAGTTAACATTATATTACTTCTTGAGCTCCTTGAGTTATTTACTAACACAGGTA